GTTGTATCTCTGCTTGCGATGATTCGTAGCGCTCGCGATTCTTGTCCAGTTCAGCCTGCATTCTATTTATTTCATTACTCCATTTATCCTGTTCGAATTGGTATTTACCTCGGAGGCCTTCCACGCGTTCGAGCTCCGAGCGCAGACGGGTCACCTCTTCCTCAGCTTTGCGTGCCCGCTCCAAGTCTAGCGATGTCTTCTCGAGCCGCGTGCGCAGTCGTTCCACCTCCAACTTAGTCCTTTCGTGCTCCTCCTTGCTATCGTGATACTTTCCATAGCGAGAGGCGTATCTTTCGGCTTCCTCTCTGGCCCCAGTAGCGTCTTGTTTTACTTTATCTAACTCGGCTTGTACTCTACGTAATTCAGACGATACTTTATCGTTCTTGTCGTACATTTTTTCAAGCTCTATTTGGACTCTCGCCATTTCTTCCTGTGTTTTTTCATTCGATGCTTGTGCTTTACCGCATTGAGTCATCGCACGATCGTATTCAAACTGAAGTCTCTCACTGTCCGCTAGTAACTTTTCTTTCTCAGCTTGAAGTCTTCGTAGTTCGATTTGACCCTTTTCATACCGTTCCCTCACCATTTCGATATCGACACTCATTCTATCCATATCTTCTTTGGCCTTTTCTTCCATTTCCTTTGTCCTGCCAAGCTGTAAAGAGGCTCTGTCATACATTTCCTGCAATCTAGCCAATTCGTCTTGTAACTTTCGTTGTTCCTCGCGAGACTTGTTCGCTAAATGTACTTGCTTTTCCAGTTCAAGCTCGATACGATCTTTGTCAGCCTCTAAAATGTCTATCTTATTCTGCAATCTGTAAATTTCGTTCTGAGACCTGTAAAAAAAGAAAATCTTGTTACACAAAATCTTTCAACGATAAGACGAATTAACAGTTAAAATGTAGAAATGTACCTGTCATATTTTTCAAGCATCTTTTCGTATTCTTTGTGCGCTGTCTCCTTTTCTTCTATAGTCTTTTGTGTGGAATACAATGCTTTATCGAGTTTTTCTTTCAATATTTCGAGTTCGGTAAGTGCGTCGTCACGTTCCATCTGAAAAAACGAAAAGTCATGTCAAAAACTATTGGTTACCGTAAAAGGTCGTAAGATTAAACTGCCTCAATATTGATTAAGAATTCTCTAGTTTTAGCCTTACCGTTAACTTCTGATGCTGTTGGTGTGCCTTCTCCCATCGTTCTCGCAGAACATCTAACTCTGTCGCCGCACTGTCTCGATCTCTAGCTGCTCTGTTGGCAGCAGCAGCCGCGGCTTCTGCCCGCTCTCTGCAACTCGCCGCCTCCGCTAGTGCGGTATCTCTTTCCTTCTGGATACGAGCTACTAGCGCCTGGAAATTTATTGTTGTTTCTTAGTTGATAACTGTTATAAGTGGTACTATTCATGACAATACCATAATTGTTTTTCTACCACATTCAAAGTCAAGAGACGTTCCTTATTTTATTTATTGCGGTCAAGTTGACGAATTTTATAGTAGAATTTTGTTAAGATTTATTTTTGTGTATTCAATTAAGTTACATATATAAAAGATAATTGTTTTTTAAACACTAAACGCTTTAAGATTTAAATCGACAAGTTTCACTTAAAATACTAAAGCACTTCCTTTCCTATCGTGATATCTTCTATTATTCATTTATCTAAGAGCGGGCGCACCTAAACCCAACAGTTGTGCGATTGTCGATTGTTTCGCAGCCAATTCATCTGTTTAGTTGCACAACTAAAAATCGAGTAGTGTAACCTCCATATAAGCTCTTAAGGATCAAAGCGAGACTAAACAGTTGTGCGATACTTTAGTTAAAGTGTCTAAATGTTGAACTACTAATGATGAGCAATTTTTCTTCAAGTAATATCTACTCCTTGCATGAATATTGCACTCGGGTCTTAGGTAGTAGGGGGGTTTAAGCAGTTCGTATGAAATGGGGCATCGATCAATTCCTCCGACTTTCAGCTCGGAACAGAAGCAATCATTTCACAAACTTCCAAACGTATTCCTTTGAGTGAAACTATGCTTTGTGAACTTTACACGGGGAATTTTTAGATCAGTATTTTATGATTATTTTCCCATTTTAAAAAGTCTTTAGGGATTTTCTTTGTGGATTTTTTAATTTTACCTAAATAGATATGACGCTATTTGTTCGTTGCTAAATGATTGACAAAATATTTATATATTCAGAGCTTTTTAATTTTAGTAGAGAACTAAACTAGTAGGACTAAAATATGGTCCTAAAATGCTGACTCACAAAACTGTATAAGAATATTGGTATTTTCTAGAACATAGAAATTGTTGCTTTAATTCATAAAGTTAATAGTAGTAAGTACAATACTAAATCCTTCCTATTTTAATAGACAAACATTTTTTCTTTTTAAAAAATATTTACATATCACATTTCTAACTCTCTTTCTTTTTTTTTACATAACCCGATTACTTGTTATATAACATTGGCCATAAACAACGTAGATTTTTTATCTTTATAAAGAAAAATATCAGCCATCTTTTTTATGCTTTATTTTATGTCGATATCAACGTCCTTGTTATCGATAAGTTTGTTGGCAGCTCTAACGTTATATAATTCAAAGGAAACTTAAAGAGGACGCCTGTATGAACATTTGCCCTCATTTGGTTCAAGGCGACGACTTGTCTGGACTTTGAAGTTGTTCGTAACAACTTGCGCATAAACTTCCTTTATTACGAATCATAAATTTGACATGTATTTTTGTAATAAAATCAATTAAAACGCTCATCAGGATAATAACTAAATTTGTCTTGTCGTTTATAAATGGACTGAGTCAAGTGTTGCAATAGATGCCCTGGATTATTACAAATCATAAAACTACTGACGAATTACAAGATCACATTATTTTTAAAGAATTTTATAATATTTACAAATGTTGCCTACTCTCTTTGACAACATAATCATAGTATCGTAACTCAGTGAGAGAAATTAGGTTTCTTTGACGTATTTATATTTAATATTATTAGCTCTCCCCAGGACTCCATCCGCGTAGAATTAAAAAACAAAAGTCAGTAGCTTATTTGCTTTTCTAGATTATCCTCTACGTGTACGCCAAATTTCAACAAGATCTGTTCAACCGTTTAGGCTATATAGGCTCTAACAAACATCCAACCATCCATCCATTCATCTAAAATTTCACATTAAGATAAGATTAATACAAATAAAACTATTACCTGTGCCTTTTCATGCTTATCATGGAATCTATCAGCGTCCAACTGAGCGGTGTCTCTTTCCTTCTGAAGCCGCGCCGCTTGGCCCAAGGCTTTGTCCAGTTGAGATTGTATCGATTCAAAGTCGTATGCTTGTTTTTCTCTGTCCACTTGCAACTGTAATAGATATAGCTAGATAATTTTACATCAGATATTCTCGAAGTGGGTCAGATAGAGTTTTAGGGGTTTACAGAAGAAAAAAGAAAGTAAGGATGCACGATGGTAGGAACTGAAGGTTCAAAAGTTGTAAAAATGTTATAGCAAATATTCAACAATATCAGTAAAATTTTGAAGGGGATCTACGAGAAAAAATTTTGTGAATCTATGGTTTTTACGAAACAAATACGGCGCTTGTATGTTTTTGATACTTAAAAAATTAGCTTGAGAAATTAACGAATTAGTAAATAAATCTTCGTAATAGCTCACCTTACGAACTTCAACCGAAGCCTTGTCTAACTTCTCTTGCAGCTTATCTATCTCAGAATGAGCTGAATCCAGTGACGCTTGCAGCTTGTCTTGCTGCAGCTGGGCCTTGCCGAGAGTAGCTTGAGTTCGTTCCAGCTCCTCTCTTGCTTTCTCAAGTTCAGCTATAGCTTTGTCCCTCTCTGAATGTAGGCGGCTTATTGAGGATTGTACCCTGGAATAAAAATAAATTATATATAATCCTTAAGCTAATATCTGATTCATAGATATTGTTAAGTCTGTCGAGCTCGAGTTAGTTAATGTTGATAAACAATGTCATGGATTAAAAAATGAAATATTTCAATAGATATTAAATTAATCCAGTAAACTTTAGAAATATTTTATAAAAACTTACCGATCATATTCCTCTTTAAGACTATCTTGTTCAGTTTGTGCATTTTCCAGTTTAGCTTTGAGACGATAGACTTCACCTTGAGACTTCTCCAGTTTATCTTGCAGCCCACTCGCTTCCGACCTGGCTCTTTCTGCATCCGCCTGCGTCACTCTCAATTCAGCTAGAGTCCTTCGTAATTCCGCTGCAGATTTATCTGCCTTTTCTTGCACTCTGTCTAACTCTTGAGACGTAGTTAAAGTACTCCTGCCGAATGTAGTTTGGGATCTTTCCAATTCATGCTTGAGTCTTTCGTTCTCTAGCTCAAGTCTGGCGAGACGTTGTTTCGCTGCCTCCCAATCAGCTCCTGATCTACCCACTTCGCTTGCAGCTTTATCTAACTCAGCTTTAGACTTTCCTAGCTCAGATTGTGAGCTTTCCAGCTTAGCTTCGAGACGGTCTTTCTCTGCTTGTGCCCTTTCTAGCCTCGCACCCAGTTTCTCTACTTCGCTTTCTAGTGCGTGTAATTTCATTTTGTATTCTGCGATCTCTCTTTCGTGTAGTTCTCTTTCTTCGTTCTTTTCATGTTCAGCTCTATCTCTCTGTTCTCTTAATTGCTGGATCTGCTTCTCTTTATCACCGATAACTTCTTCAAGAGATGATAAAGCGCCTTCAGATGAGCAATGATGTGCTTGCATTGCATTTAGTCTTGCTCTGGCCATGTCAACTTGATTGTCTTTCTCTTTAAGCAAATCTTCTAAATTCTCAATCTAGAAAATAAAACAACAACTTAACAAAGTAGGTATCGACATAAAATATTAAAACAATATTAAAATAACAAAATGTAATGCAAAAAATAAAAGCATATAATGAAATAAAACGTACCTTGAAATAAATAAAAAATCTAGCATTGCAAATTCAACACAAACAATAAAATAAAAACAAGCACCGGGGATTATACGGGTACAAAACAAACATGAACTACGCAGGTACATTAAAGAGACAAAAAAGCTCTTAAATTGTGAACATATAAAATAACATAAAAACTTTATGTATAGTAAATAAATTTAGCCAACATAATAAAAATACTCATATTATTTAATCTAAACTAATTTTATAACGAGGAAAGATTTGTATTTTATATGTATTGAAAAAACTCAAAAACTACTGGGACGATTTCAAAGGTTCCTTCACCATTCAAAACCTATGGTATCAGTGAGTAACACCGTCTATATATTGTTATTAATTTTTTAATCTTATGTAAACGTAGTCGCAAACAACAGTCTTACGTCAAACCTTTTATACCGTGTTTCTAGTGCTCGGTAATTTTGCGAAATACAATCTTAACTAATAAATAATAAAGTATTTATCCCAAAAGCAGAATGCTGGTATATTTATGGTGAAACATATAACAACATTGATTTCCATAATATCAAATATAGGAGGTTAGAATTTAAACACATTCTTAACTAAAGAGTGTCCAACTTCATATACTAATGTTATTAAGAGGAAAGATTTGTATTTTATATGCACTGAAATAACTCCAAAACTACTGGGCTGATTATAAAAATTCTTTCACCCTAAAAAGCTACATTATCGGTGAGTAACATAACATTTTTAAATTTCACGTGAACGAAGTCGCGAGTACAGCTAGTTAGTGATAAAGATATTAAATAAATGAACGAAGGTTTTTCAGATAAGACTGAAGTAGCGTGGGGGCTCGTAAAATAAACAAGCTATGGTTTATAGCCACTTGGTATACAGAGATAGTGAAAGCTGTTAACGTTTCTGAGCTTACGAGGTTCTTAAAAGAAAGACCGTATCGTGTCTACTTAAGATATATTATATATCAGACGTTTATAAAATCAATTAAATGTTTTGTTATAAAAATGTTTTGACTTATTATGTAAGGGTTAATGTTATTAACATGAAGTTTGCATTTTTATAAATAAAGTAAAAATAAACTTATAAATAACGTTTAAATAATGAAATTATTTATACTGATTAATTAAGGGACGGAGAAATTATTTTCATGTGCAGAATTAACAAGATAAAGTACTTTAAAAAATCTAACAAATAATTTACAGCTAACAATCAACATTATGTAAAATCATTTGATAAACGCAAACAAGCTCGAAAACTGAAATCATTAATTTTTTTATTATGCTTTTTTATGAATACCATAATAGTTGTAATAATAGTCATCTAAAATATATTATGTATTAAATAAGAAAATAAAGATATATGTAAATAACAATATTCTTACAAGTTCAATTAATTAAAGCTCTACGTATTACATTAATCCTATATATAAAATTTTATCTTTCAACAAGCTAGAATATTTTCATAACTTTTAAGAAGTCCAATAAAAACGAATGGGCCATTTACCCTGTAGATAAGAACCATTGAGAATTCCTTCATCTTAAAGATTATGGTAGATTTCTTAGACGTCTATCAAGGATGATATTTTACTTAAGTTTCATTTTGACTTCAAAAGGAAGAGGTTCTTAAACATATAGTTATATTTTATTGTTTATTAATTTATCATAATTCTTTCAATCAAATAAAAGTTTAATTTTTTTTTATTTATATGACAATTTGGAATTATTTTTGTGTACTGTAATTTACCAATAACAGTTGCTTTTATTTTATAAAAAATAAATGGATTGTGAAATTGAAAGATTTTTTTTTGGAAACATAGACACCATAATTTGACATGATTCTCTTCATCATTCGTCACATTTTAAATTAATTTAAATAAATTATTTTTACACCAAATTCCCAAGATACGTGTACCCTTATATAATATCTATAAATTAATCTAGCATAGCATTTTAAACTATAAAACTAAAATAAATAAAATACACATAAATTCCGTAACCATATCTAGCAACATCTCAGTTTTGTTCTTTTCTTTACCTTTCTCTGAAGCACATTGATCTTTCGGTCTTTGATTTCGGAGTGGTCCCTGAGTTCCGCCAGCTCGTGAGCTGCGGCGAGCGCTGCTGCTGTCTTCTTCTCTACCAGTCTGCTCTTCTCTTCTAGACGGGCTTTTAGTTCTTCCACCTAAAGAAGGAAAGACTTAAATATGTTTGGAAGCTGACTTCAATTAGTCTTTACCCGGCGCGTTTGTTAAATAGTTTTGAGACTAGAGTTACTCATATGTTTCTATAAATTCGTGACAGTAAACGTCGTTAACCAAATTCTGGAAACGGGTAATCGGTAAATCTTACAAGTCGTGGTAAAGTGGCATTAAAGCCATGTCGGCTTAGAATATAGAATTTCTATAATTGAACCCAATCCAGTCAGTTTACAGCTAGTAGTAAAAATGGTGATACGAAAAGTGACGTAATTGTACTTACATCTGTTTGCAACATGCTGTAGTGTTCTTCCTTAGCGCAAAGAGACTCTTTGAGAACAGCGATGTGGCGCTGATAATCCTGGTGCTGCTCCTCCAGGGCCTTCATCTTGGCCGCCATCGCCAGGATCTCCTGGTCCCTCCGCTGGATCTCCAACCGGAACTCATCCAACTGCTCATCATCATCCACCCGAAAGTCGGTATAGAATTAAATAAATTCAAAAATAACATCAGTGAAAGTTATCAACTTCAAACGACTATCTACGAAGGCAAAAGTGATGGCGAAAATGATATTGATGTTAGAAGTATTTTTCTACACAATACTGATGTCTTCAAGTATAAAAGTCAAATCGGTGATGTTAATTCGATGTATGAAAAGCGGAGCAAGCTTCATAACTATAATCTTATATAATAGGAAACGCTTCCAGCACCCAGTAACAAATATTTCACAATAACAACGTGCCGTGGAAGACATTTCGACATTTCAATCGTCAAACGACATGCACATCCTTCACGCAACAATAATTATCAAAAACCACCGAAGAAATTTCAACAATAGAAAAATGGACATTTAAAGCTGGAAAACTTTCTAAGCTAACGATAGAAACGATGATGACGACGAAGAGGCGGTAGAAAGCTTTCCAGACACGGTTGAGCTAAAGTAGGGAAATATCGACACAGACTTGAATGCACGGGCGCCTACGTTGTGATACATTTATCTACCGATACTGTGAGAGACGATGATACATGACCACTACATGAGAGGTCGGGTCTGTGAGCTAGTCTATTGATGGCGGGTGACGCGGGACCAAGCGGTACTGGACGATGATCGAAACACCGAAAGCGGATTGTGAGTCAAACAACATCAACTGGTAACGTACTCGATACACTCATTCGATGCATTCGACCTCAGCAGTCTTTATTCGAAACGGCCTAACTCTAAACACGTTTAGTGTAACCTAATCGAGCTCACAAATATCTCCTAACTTTACAATATACATTCTAACATATAATATAACGACGCTCTACCTAAAGCTCTAATTAACAAAAATATAATAATTCGACAAGTTTTTTCAAGAATATAATTTTTCTCTTATATTTAGTAAAAATAGCTTTAACAATGAACAAGTTCACACAAAAATATTCGGAATCAACACAGTCGGCGTCTAAGTTCGGACTTAAAGCGAGAAATTGACACGATATCCCCTCGGGCGGCGGGAGTCGGGTGTCGGGTGGCGGCGGCGGTCACAGAGTGGTGGCGCTATAGCGGGGCGGGGGGGCGCGCAGGGCGGGCCGCAGCGCGCGCGCGCCCAGTGGCGGGCTCACGCGCCCGTCCTTCGTCACGCGCACGTCGTTCAGCAGAAAACTTACTTGTCTCTTGAAGGGAGGGTCGGCCTTATCGAAAAGCGAGGCGTGCGAGGGCGCGAGCGCGAGCGCGAGCGCGGGCGGCGGCGGCGACCCGAACGCGGCCAGCTCGCTCTCGAGCAGCGCCACCTGCCGCTCGAGCGTCGCGATGCGCGCTTCCTTGGTCTCGAGCACGGCGGTGAGCGTGGCGCCCGCGCTGCCGCCCGGCAGCCCGGCCGCGGCCAGCGCGCGCTCGAGCTGCGCCTGCAGCGCACGCAGCGTGTCCGCCGTCGCCTTGAGCTCCTGCGGGACGGACTCGGTCAGCCGCCGCCGCCTCGCGCCCCCTGGGGCTGCGTTCCGCGCGAGCCCCGGCCGCAGCCCCAAGTTGTAGGCGTTCACACATTACTTGCTAAACAATCATTACTGAACGCCCAGTGACGGTACGAGACGGTCTTCGCTAAGGCTTCGTGACGGGGGATGAGCTCGCTAAACATGCAATGTCGTGATCGTGTTCGTGTCGGTATTGAGAGAGATTCATGTCGTGTCCGGGCCCAATGTGCCCCTCGTTCCAAAGTTTATTTTGTCGTGACTTGGATGGTGGAGGAGATTAAAAAAAAAGGATAACTAGTGCTCGGGGAAGCTCGAAGTGTCACAGAAAGGCTTTAGACCGCGGGTGTGAAGAGTGAAGCGAGAGTTGATCAGAGTTGAATGAAGCCAAAAGGAGAGAACGATCGATTGTAACATAAACAGGCGACGCGACAATCACATTCGGCTGAGATGAACAAATGAATGAAAATGAAACTATCAAGAGCAAGTCTAACAGAAACAGTGACTGATAAAGGTATCACAAAATAAAACGCCCATGTGGTTCATATCTATAGATACATAACATGAAAAAGCTGAGTGACGTGCAGTACGGTACATACGACTACGTAACTTAAGTGTAGGACACAACTAGTTGCGCGAAACCTTCCACATCGCTGACGTCTTATGATAAGAGTGGAAAGTTCGATTGACAACAAACAGCATGCAACACCAGTTATCTAATAGAAAGCGGATAATTACCTGCTTCTGCGCCATTGCCTGCATCTGTTGGAACATTTGCCTTTCTTCCTCTTTACCTGAAATTGTTTCAAATTGTACTTCTTCTTACAAACGCTATTTAGCTGTGGTATCATTTCTTGTCTCAGTAATGTAAACGTACCCATGCCTTTGTTTTGTAACATTTCGAGTAACTTCTTGATGCTTTCATCTCGAGCTTGCAATGTTTGCTTCTGAGTTTCAATACGAAGCTCTAGTTCCTACAAGATATAAGAAGAAACCTTAAAAATATTTGGACCAACTAAAATAAACTAGGAAAAATATTCATTGATCAATTCCTATGATTTGAAGTAATGTTTTGGCAACATAATTGTTTAGTTAATATGTAACAATTATGAAGTGTTTGTGGTATATTTAAAAGCCTTAGCTGAGTTAACAAAATAAAATATAACCTATACTCAAGAGTCTATTATCAAAGGAAGTGAATTCATTGTTTGAAATTGTAAATGAAAAAACAAATGACAATGAACACAACAAAATCAGAAGCGACAACTCACAAAGACTCTGTACTTGCTTTTATTAAAATTCTTTGTTATATTTATAGAATGACAGATGAGATGGTACAAAAAGATGTTATAATTAAGATAATTTGACTGCAATGAAACAGATGAGACAAAAATAAAGACACTTCAACACAATAATTTACATTAGTTAGTTAGGTTTTTTCATTATACAAAGTTTATAATTCTGTAGTAACTGTAATCTTGATAATTAAAAGCTGTTAAGAAACTTTTACTTTTCACTGATCAGTCTTTTATATAGTGTTAATTTTTCTTAATCCTAGTTATTTTTTCAGTCGCAAGCATCTAAAATTTCTGTAGTTTTCCATCGTCTAAACACATATTGCCATCCCTCTTAATATCTACGTTAAAAAGAGAGATAGATATCAATTCAAGTTCGTTCAATCCAATGCTATAGATCTGTGGTACTTCTACAATACATTTTGTGTCCTACTCACTTTGATGGTGTCCCTCAATATCGCTATCTCTCTCTGCAGATGTTCATTCTCGGAGTATAGCGCTTCCAGTTGTTGTTGTAGCTCAGGAGCAGGTTGACGCATTCGAAGCCTCAGTTCTTCTTCTAACTGCCTCACAAGCATTGCTTGTTTCTGCAAATAAAAGGTAAGGTTACGAAAAAAGTTAATGCTGAAGTTAGATTAGTTTCCATAAGGAAAGGTCTCAGATATTTGATTATACCCGATAGTAATATAATCTATACTAACATTAAAAAAGGAAAGATTTGTATTTTTGTATTGAACTAACTCACAAACTACTAGGCCGGGTTTAAAAATTCTTTCGCCATTTGAAAGGTAATTTATCTGTAAGTAACATAGGCTATATTTTAATTTCACGCAGGCGAAGTCGCAAGCAACAGCTAGTTATGGAATAAAGAGAAAATGTAGTTAGAATACACTCTCTTTTGTTTATTTGAATATAACTTGTTTACTTGATGACATTTTTCGAAATAAAATTGTTACATACGAGTACATTTCACCGTAACTTTAACAACTTTAAAGTTTGCTTTATTTTCCTCAGTTACGATAACATTTTGCATTCTATCGAACTTAATGTGTTAAGTAAAATATCTGTTACCTTATTAGTTAAGCTAACAATTCTTGTAATACTTACAAAGATCTGTTATAGAAACACTCGTAAAAGTTTTGATACGAATAAAATAGTTTTACAAGACAAATGACGTCTGTGCCTATATTCTAAGCGATTCAATATCTCCAAAGTCTCAACAAATGGAGGATATTTGACAAACATCTGGATCTTATTACACGATGTGAGATGTTATACTATTTATTCAAGATTCTATTGTCTATTGCCTATTTTTCAAATGCTTTTCGAATTACCCCCACTTGTATATGTTAAGAAAAAAAAACCTTGCTGATATTAATATTTGAAAAGAATATTTTTCTGAATAATCTTTACAACAAATAAAAATACATTTCGTCAGAAATTTTCCAATATAATTCCAGAGGTTTCGCAGAAATATTTTCAATAGATTATTACATCGCCTACACTCGGTAAAAATATATATTTTTCCAAACATTCTGCGAAGAAAAATTATTATTTTTGAAGGGTCAATTTATATTTAGAAATGTTATTTGTAATTCGTATAATTTAACATAATTAGTTTTAAGTTTTGGCGATAGATGGCGCTATTTTTGATTCAACGATTATTTAAACTACAATGAAGATAATAGACGAAAAGAAATATTGTTTAAATCGATTACTCGTGTTTTTAATAAAGATATAATTCTTTCATTTTTCATTGCATACACACACATACATCGTCTCACAAGACAACTTCTAGAGTAGGGAAACCATACAACATACGTTTTTTCGACCTATTTAATAGTAAAGTTTTAAATTAATTCGTTCAGTTCCCACGGCAGACGTTCAACTTCGACCTGATAACAAAAATCAATATCGAAGACTATCGATATAGTGCTGTGAATCAAATAGAATGTCCTTTAATATTTAAATATTGCAATTTTTTTAATTTTTATCTTTACATCGTACATATAAACGAATTGATTGATGATGTTTTTTTTATCGAATAAATTGGGTAAGTTTTAATGTAATATAAACACGTCTGTTTGTTAATAGCTCTGTGATTACAGTCCAATCTTGTAAAGTTAAACGATATTTAATTTTGTTTTAGTTTTATAATAATTGATGGTAGATAATTGTTTAGATGATTTTGTTAATATTAATATAGAGTGTTAATGAAATGCATTAAAAGGGCTATATTTTATTTAATTCTTTTATACAATTTGTAAGCGTCAAGCAAACTTTTTCTGTTTCAGATTTATTTTTCATATCGTATCGTTAGCTATCTCGGAACGTTCTTTGTTTTCATTTAGTTTTAATTTTCACTACAATTTGTTTTCTGTATTGTTGTGTTGAAGTTTCATATTTTATTGTCTTCTAATTTGTCTGCGGAGTTTCTATTGTAACATCCGCTATGTGGAACGAAGAAATATAAATAATGCAGAGTCTTAAATGTTTTTAACTCTGCGTTTGCCATTTTTCTTAGCATATTCATTTACTCATCTTACTAATATTATGAATGCGAAAGTTTAGATGGATATTAGAGTTTATAGCGTAAAATTTGTACTAATATTTACCTTATTCCTAAGTGTAACTTTATACCGCGTTTATTTGTGTGGCTGTTGTTTTAGTTGTTTTTTAATACTATGAAAACGAAGTCACAGGCAGCAGTTTTTTTATTTATTTATTGGCCAAAAACAAAATTTCAAAATACAATAAAATATTTGCAGCAAGTACAAAAACCCAGGGTTTAAGCGTACCAACTGGTCGCTTAGTTTATAACAAAAAAATAGCCCCTAGTTTTCATCATCTTTCTCCTCCGTCTCTAGGGGCGCAACAGGTTTTTGTCCTCCACATAACTCTATCATACGTCATCTCAGTCATCACTCCCTTCTTGATCATGTCACCTTTTACGCAATCCAACCATCTCTCTCTATGTCTACCTCCACTGGTGTACTTCCATACTCATAACTAACGTTCCATACATTGCCCTTAATTTTGTTAATGTTAAAATCAACTCTCCTTTTATTACTTTGCATTGTATAATACTTTTGCTATAGGAATTACTATTAATTAATAACAATAATCAAAACGAATAAATCGAGCCAGCAATATTACTGAGTGGAATTATAGAAGTACACATTTTATGAAACCAGGTCGTTGAAAAACTCAAAGCGTAATATTTCGTTACGTGTTCGTTCGTAGGAATTTTTTTTATACGTAATTGCATTCTACAGTGCATACGAGTTTGGGTACACGCGACGTTTCAATTAACGGAAAGTTCTGTCGACTTGTTTGTTTTTATTAATTATTCTAATAAAAGTTATATTATTCTGGATTTATTTAATACGACTCCGCCAGCGTGAAATAAAAAAAAACATAGCCTATGTTACTCACAGAAAAATTACCTTTCTAATGGTGAAAGAATTTTTGAAATCGGCCCAGTAGTTATTCCAATACATAAATAAATCTAAATTCCTTATTATTTATTTTTTATTGATAGAATTAAAATTGCCCACATTAAATACTAATAAATACCACTATTTGGTATTTTTTAATTATACTCATTAATTTACTCTCGATTTCCATATATCTTAAAGGTCTCTGAAAGTTGCGAGACCGTATTAAACGTAATCGAGAAAATTTGTATGAAACTTGTTGGTAGACTTTACGGCCGGTAGGAGGCGCTGTTCGAATCTAATACTTTTGTAGATGACGTTACAAAAACGTTCTCACCGATATTCGTGATAAGTACGAAGCTCCTGCTTCAGGTAGACCAATAATTTTTTTGTTATTTCCTTATAAATGCCGGAGATTTAACATTTCACTTTTATCTCAAAGAGTATGTGATTTTCTTTCCTTAAAATACCTTGTAGAAAATAAATTGCGCCTTGTTGCGTTCATTCATCATATGTCAGTACAAATTTTATAAAATGAATTTTCTTACGTCTTTGAAGAAAATTGCAAAAGATTTGTGGAGTTAGTTATAATACTATTGTGGAAAATACATTATTTACACTTATGTTATAAAGAGGAAAGATTTGTATGTATTAAAATAACCTAAAAACTACTAAGACGATTTCAAAATTTCTTTCACCATTAAAAAGCTACGTTATCAGTGAGTAACACGGGCTATATTTTTTTAAGTTCCACGCGGAGGAAGTCGCGAGCAACAGCTAGTACATAATAAAAAGGATAATAATAAGAATATTTTCTTTTTTTTTTTTAAATTCACGCGGGAGAAATCGCGTGCTTTTTTTTTTGTGACTGAATGGCCACTGTTTGCCTTGAAGAGGCATTTACAGATTCACCGGGCTTGAGGTGGCCGAGCGCAGATGGCGCTTAGCCTAAACCTCGTTTATGAGTAACTAAGCTCGAGGGCTCCCTCAGGAGCCACGGCACGAGCTGTTACTTCCGTATTATTACCGGATTGGATCGCGTGCTTGTTAACTCACAATTGTAAGCCTCATTATATTCCTATTTATTTTGTCTAAATCAATTGTAAATTTATAACAAAAAAGTTCGAATTATTAGAAAGTTATATTTTTATATGTAATAGTATTATTGTTGCCTAATTTTCTTATTACTTAAGACGATTAGGCCCAACTTGAAGTTCGCTGGCGTTTAATGATGTAACTTCTGTACTTGACTTGTTACTTGTTTCACGAACATCGATTGTTAAGTTAATGAGGGAACTCTTTGTTTTTGACGAGAATATTAACTTGTATTTAGGTGTTGTACAACTTTGTTAGCATTTGTTAAATCAAAAGCCGATTGCCTTTTGTTTTTTTTCTTTTAAATTCAAAGTTTTTAATACATTCAGCCAGAATTATTTTTGATTGGCTAAATGTTTTCTTTTTAATTAAATTAAAAAGGTTATTTACATTCAGCCAGGAATTTTTCTGTGTTAAAAAAGTATGATTTTTTTTCTTGTGTTTGTTTTATTTACCGTATATGTCTTAAAGCTATTGGCAGTTGTGCCTTTTAATTGAATTGTGGTTTAACAAGCATTATCATATAATGCTAATGTAGTATTTTCTGCAGACATATTACTTATACTTGAGTAAACTACGGAGACGGAACGACCTAGATCCGCCTATTGTTAGTCTAGATCTAGTGTTTAGTGATGCAATGGATTCAGATTTCTTCTGTGCCAAATAAAACGAGTAATTGCCGAGTTCAGACTGGAATATATTTAGGATTTTCTTGTTAAATATTGTGAAAGATGGATGTAACTAATCAAAGATTAATTTAAAAGTGCCTTTTTCCTTCAAAATTTCTACATTATCTCTAATATACGCTGTAAAATTGTTATGAAATGTAAAAAAATAATTTCCACAAGAGTGAAGCCGGGTCGTGCCTCTAGTATTCAACAGTCTTACTAATCTATAAAATGTTCAATAATAAAACGACATACTTAAAAGCTTTACATCAATGTCGATGAAAACAATACAAAAAAACAAAGCATAAAAAAACAATAGAAGTTATTTAACGTTTTTTTCTCAAATACCGCGAATGTGAAAATGTTATAAATCAGAAACACATATGC